AGCCGAGCCGAGATGAGGATGAGTCGCTGAGTCGCTCCAGGTCGAGCTGTATCATGAGTCTGTAGGATTTCACCACGTGTTGGCGGGCTCGACTTCAAAAACTTTGCGCGAAAATGATACTGAATAAAATTGAGAGGCACGCCGTTGCAATTGATAGGTTGGTATTAAGAATTTCGGAAATAGCTGGAAACTGCACTTTTCGGCCGAGAGGCTTCACGCGCAGTTCAGGTTGTACAGTATGCCTTGGGACGCCGGGCGGGCTGGGCCGGGCTGCGCCCTATTTACATGGGGGCGGGTGCGAGTGCGCCCGCGCAGGTGTACACTGTGAAAACGCTAAGAAAAGCTGTTGGCCATTTTATGAATTAAAATCTCGCCGACACACGACGACGCGGTTCGTTATGAATAACATTACTGCTGCTGACAAAAGATTTCAATATGAGGCATCACTTGTCTCTTCAATGCTGCTTGCCAAAACCTCCTTATTTCCCAATTTTCCCGACCGCAGTCTCGTCGGCTCGATTTGGCGGCGCACCTTTCGAAACGGCGGTGATTGAGGCGCAGAGACGCCCACGCGCAGGCTCTATAGGCTTCAAATATGCAGAATAAAAACGCGCTGTGACGAAAGATTGAAGATTTTTGCGAAAATTAGTGAAACGTTTCTGGGAGTAATTTTGTTACTAAGCGAGCGTGTCTGCAGTCGCGGACCCAGTCGGACCCCTTGTCCCTCCTCATGAGGGACCAGTGAGGCTTTTGAGATGGACCTGGTGATATGCGATGCCGTGATGGACCTGGTGATACAGTACCCGTCCAGCGAGAAACCCGCGAGCACTGAACCCAAAGACCCTTAGAGAGGCCGTTGGCCAAGTCACAGGCCACAGGCCCTCACAACCATAGAACGCATACGTATTTCCTTCAGTTCACCGTTCACTTATCCCATTACCCATATAGCTTACCGGCTTTTAACTTTTCTGAAATTTTTACCCTTTATTTTGGTTCCGTTATTATTTGTGACGTGATTGAAGCAGTTTTTTGGGGTAATTTTCTTTTTCTTTATTACGTCCCTAAACACGTATATGCGAGCAGGTTACGCGCTTCTCGCGTCGTTTTGCGCGGCGTGGCGTGGCGCTGCTCGGCGTGGGATCAGCCCGACGATTTGATTTGAATAATGGCGCGCGCGACATAAAAGAGCCCGACTTTCACTGGACCCGACGCCACGCGACGCCACGCCGTGTGTAAAGCGCCGCCGCGTTCTCACCGCCGCGTTGGAGCACGGCATCATACACCCCCGCCATAATCATTTTGCGGCCGAAAAACACCGCGCGCCCGTCATCGCCGAGAACACACCGCAATTTATGCAAACAATTTATTTGAAAGAGCCCAAGGCCGCAGGGATTAGGGCGTAGGTGCGAATACGTCAACGTTCTCTAATGGAATACTTTACGCGCGTGTCTGTCGGGTGGTTTGGAGAAATAACGGAGGTGGGCAAAAAAGGGCGCTCAAAAATCTAGCCCTTGAATAAGTGGTCAGTAGGCTGAAGGCGAGTTTCGCCGTTTCGCCTACTCTACTAGGCACGGCAAAAGGGGGAGCTTTGGTTTT